GGTGGCCACACCCACTTGGGGGTCACCACAACATGGGGAACTGTATTATGGGGTCACAGCATTAGAAAGGTTGAGAACCACTGCACTAGATGAATACACAGATGGTTGACCAATCACATTCAGCGTGTGGTCTTCAATGGAGCTACCTCTACATGGAGGGAAGCATGCAATGGGCTACCTCAAGGTTCTGTCCTGCGCCCTGGGCTCTTCAACATCTTTACAAATAATCTATACAAGGGGATTGAAGGAGCACTCATCAAATTTGCAGGTGATAGCAAGCTGGGGAGTAATGTTAATACTTTGGGAGATAGTCTCAAGATTTAGAAGGATCTTGACAGACTTGAGCATTGGGCCCTATATGGCAAAATGCAGTTCAGTGGTGAGTAAAGTAAGGTCCACACTTAGGCAGGAAAAAATCAACTGCATAGGTATGGAATAGGCAGTACCTGTCTGTGAGAGGACTCTAGGTATCCTGGACAACAGCTTAAGTATGAGCCAGTAGTATGCTACAGCTGCCAAAAAAGTCAATGCAATTCTAGGCTGCATCAACAGACTAATAGCATAGGATCATGAGAGGTGATAGTACCTCTCCATACTATACTACTACTAAGGCTACACTTGGAATAGTGTGTCCCGTTTCAATCACTATAATACAAAAAAAGATGCTGAGGCCTTACTCTGGAAAGAGTGCAGAGAAGAGCAACAAAGTTGATAAATGGTCTGGAGCAGGGGTAGGCAACCTTGGCTCTTTTATGACTCGTAGACTTCAACTCCCAGAATTCCTGAGCCAGCCATGGTCTGGAGGCTAAGCTGTATGAGGAACGGCTAAGGCAGTGGTTCTCAACCTTTCTAATGCCGCGACCCCATAATAGAGTTCCCCATGTTGTGGTGACCCCCAACCACTTATACATCACCGGGTGCCAGGGGTGTGGCCAAAGAAAAGGGGGGGAAATGGCAGACAGCCTGGTTTGGCGACCCCCGTGAAATGGTTGTTCGACCCCAAATGGGGTCCCGACCCACAGGTTGAGAACCACTGGGCTAAGGGAACTAGGTATGTGGATGAATGGTAGCTGTCTTCTAATACTTGAAGAGCTGTCACAGGGAAGAAGGATTCCATTTATTCTCCAAAGCTCCTGAGGGTGGGACAAGAAGCAATGGGTGGAAGCTTATCAGAGGGACACCCAACCTGGAACTAAGGAGAAATGTCTGCTAGAATAATTAGTCAATGGAGTAACTTGCCTTCCAAAGTTGTGGGTGCTAAGTCGCTGGAAGTTTTTACAAAAGACTGGACAACCATTTGTCCAGGATGGAATAAGGACCCCTTGGGTAGAGAGTTGGACTAGAAGACCTCCAAGATCCCATCCAGCCCTATGATTTTATTTCTATTTTTTTCTGCTCTCCCAGGTCTTTTGGGCCAGAACAAAGGATGCAGAATGTTGACTAGAACTGTAGAGAAACTTTTTCCAACTGGAAACATCGGCTGGGACTCCTAGACCAACTTGTGGAGAAGGTGCTCTTCTAGAGGAAAAATGAACATATACCTAACACTTCAAGGTGCAGCTTGTATATATTATCTCAATATAATCTGGAATTCATATGTTTCTCATACAAGGATACATCCAAGGGAGCAAAGGAACTAAAACTAAAAGAAACAGGCTTGCTTAAGGTGATCTACTGGTGTCTGAGCTGTTTTTTATTCATAGCTCAGCCATTAGACCATGCCAGTACTCACTGCCAGCTGGAAAACTCAAAATAGATCACCTTTTCTTTGGGGGAAGGAGAGAAAGAGGATGCTTCCTAGACCTGCAAGTGCTGAAGACCAAGTGATCAGTATCAGTACAAAGTGGCGATGTTCATTGTGCAAGTAATTTTTTCCCCCAAACTTATTTATTAAATCTATACCTTACCCAGCTCACTATCCAAAGTGACTCTGGCTGGCTTACAATATATAGGAGTGGCTCAAGGTTTATCTTTATGCCTGTCCTAACTTTTCAGCTCTTTTGTTTCTGCAGCTTTTACTGGTTAGTTGTTTTAGTAGTTTGCCATAAATGGCCTGTTTTTAAGATGCTTAGGACCTTTGTCACCCTCCCTCTAAGGCTGCTGTAGAGAAGAAAAATAACGGAGCAATAAACTGAGTAGGCACAGCAACAATTGGGCTTCTCACTTGAAAAGTACATCTGCCCACAGATTCTGTATCAGTTGGTTCCAGAATTTTTGAATTCCTTGAAAGTTTAGCCAATACATAATATTCATACTGATCTCCTGTATCTTAATATCTTTATGAATTCTCTTAAGGATTTACATTCCCAGCAATCCATATCACAGGAAGTTAGCAGCAACCTCACATCAATCCAATTAATGCACTAGCAGAAAACGTCTGAAGCGTGCTTACTTAATGCATTTGTACACCACTTTTGTATACTTTCACTTCTGAGCAGATCTGTATTTGCACCACTGGAAAATGAGTACAGTAGATTAAACAAATGTCCTGGTCTCCAGATATGATTCCAAATGATCAAGTAGGAAAAAAAAAAAAGACCACTACAGGTAGTCCTTGGCTTACAACCAGAACTGAGTCCAAAATTTCTGTTGTTAAATGAGACATTTGTTAAGTGAGTTTTGCCCCATTTTACAACTTTTCTTGCCACAGTTGTTAAGTGAATCACTGCAGTTGTTAAATTAGTAACACAGCGAATCTGCCTTACCCCCATTGACTTTGCTTGTCAGAAGGTCGCAAAAGGGGATCACTTGACCCCAGAATACTGCAACTATCATAAATATGAGTCATGTGCCAAGAAGCTGCAATGGTCGTAGGTGTGAGAAATGGTCATAAGTCACTTTTTCTAGTGCCGTTGTAACTTTGAACAATCACTAAATGAACTGTTGTAAGTCGAAGATTACCTGTACACAGAAAGAACATGATAATCGCAGTTAGGCACCTTAATGGCTGTTATAATCAGACCTAGCCATCTTAATGTTTGTATCGAGGTTATTATTTTTTTTTACAAAGTTTTCTTGGGTTGGACCAAGTAATGCATGTTTAAAGTGGCTGTATGACTTTCCAGGGAAATGGTAGACTTGCTACGTAGGGAAAAGTATTCTCCCTTTATGGAAAAGTACTGAACTAATGTCCAACAAGTTTCTGAAAGCTAGGAATCCAGTGGAAATCCTCATTAGCCTTACTCCAGTGGCAATTTCCTCACTACAAGCTTACTTTTCATAAGCCCCACTCACCCTCTACACACACACTCATTACAAAGCTGTATCTTGGATTCTCAGCAGTCCCAATGCAATGATCACTCCAAAGGAGAAGTTTCACATTGGACCTGGCTTCATCTTCCTCTAACCCTGGATAGATGCATGATTGGGTAGGTGGGGGTTAGGCAGAGTCTGATGCAAAACACAAAAAAGGCAACCACCTACACTCTTCTTGACATTTCTTTGGAAAACAATAGGAAGACTTTCCTGAGCCCTGTTGACACCGTGGTTAGAATGCAGTATTGCAGGCAAACTCAGCCCACAGTCTGGAATTTGGGGCTCAAGGTCGACTCAAGGTCGGTAAAATGAGGACCCAGATTGTTGGGGACAAATTTCTGACCTTGTAAACCACCCAGAAGGTGCTGTGAAGCACTATGGGGTGGTATATAAATTTAAGTGCTGTTTCTATTGCTTTAGCTCTCTGAATCTGGAAGGTTCTTGGCTGGGAAAAGCCATGATAGATAATAGATTACATGTAACAGTTATGCACATGTAGTCAGCATTTGAGTGGCATCAAATGTCTGTATCTAAAGTTAGAGGCAACTGCTATTGTTTGAGGTCTGGTGCCTGAAAGTTTGTGGCAAATATGATGATGCATTTCCAAGTGCCTGTAATGTTAACTCTTGATCACAGAACAAGAGCTGCCAATCAACCAAGCAGCTGCAATGGATTTCCTGAGGAGGCTGAGCAGAATACAAGAAAGCAGATGCTGACTGGGGACGAGGGGAATAGTAGCCCAATACTGTAGGTCCGAGCTAGGAAAGGATGATTTAGAATGAAGAAAATAAAAACCCTTTAAGAAATTATTAATGTAACAGAATGCCATGATGCTGCAAGACTAAAAATATGTTCAAGTTCCTGAACTTTGGTCCTGGCAAAACTTTAATGCAAAGTTTTATATTATAATCGATGTATATTCTAATTTCCACCATTTGTGCCACGCACTGTGGTGGTGGGAAGAAAACAACTGAGGTTATGGAACCAATTATATAAAACTGTTGTTGTTGCATGAATTAATTTAGTTTTTTCTAGAAACACAGGATTGAATTAACTGCATGAGAGTCAGTCAGTCTATGATGTCAATAAATCAGGAGTCTATTAGCACCAGTCATTTTTAATAGTCCAGGCAAGTTGATGGGATTCTAGTTGCCCATTGTTACATAAGGGTAATCTAATGTGACAAACTCTATATTAACCTATTGGTTCCTCTAGAAATCCTAAACATCTCTCCTACTGAAATCACTTTAAATTCTTTTCATTTCATTGAGATACATTTAAGCATTTGCTTCAATGTGTGTCAAATAGCTTAGACTAAACCATGCTTAACTTAATGTTGGTTGTGTTAAAACTGCAAGAGAACAACTCAAAAGCCTCTTTATGTGCTAACATTTAAGGAGGCTGTGAATCAGGGTCTGTGTGATGTCTGTCTGGTGGGGGGGCAGAGGGTTGCTGCCTAGGGCTTTCAAAAAAATACCGCTAGGTCTGCAAACTATCAAGCAACTATAAACATTTTCCTCCATAGGACTGTTGTATGTGCTTAAGATACCAAGCTGGCATTTAATAAAATCAATAAATATGAAGCATTTTTTTAAATATTACGCTTCTTTCAAATAAATCTGTGTTCTGTACTGTATATATCTGTGTAAATATAATTGACATCCTATTTATTTCTTTGAAATACCTCAGCCTCACGTTGCTAGATAGTTTATAGTAGCATAAAAATAGGTGCATCAGTCACTGAGGAGGAAGAGAAGGAGTTGTGCTGACAACCTGCGCAAATTTTGCAAACCCATTTCTTTAAGTTAGTTTGGCTTTGGCATCTTTATGGCTTCCTCCCCTGCTCCTTGAAACTAACCAAGCTTTCTTGTATAATTGGGATTTCCTGGTTCCCCAATAAACACCCTAGGAATTAAGGCCAGGCCTAACCTGAGGCTTGCCTTTCTGTACCCCAACAACAAGTCATGAGAGAAGGGAGAGAGGCGAGGTGGTGTGTTGTTTTTTTTCCATAAAGCTTTTCTTTATTATTATTATTATTATTAATATTTTAAAATCCTCATAAATACTTGACTTGGCAAACCTGTCTCTTAGGAAGTGGTCATACAGATTTGAGGTAGAAAACCCGGTACAATGTATCAAATTCACTCACATAGGTAGTTTAAATACATCCAACATAAAAAACAACAACGGGGATGAGAGTGGGCGGTGAGGGAGGGAGGGAGAGCAAAAAACGGGGAGGGAGAAAGGAGGACTTCGGTGTATTGCTTATTTACATGTTTTCAAAGCACTAAGCACAGTCCAGCCAAAGGGAAGCATGGTTATGCCCCATGGATTTCAACGGGAGGATTATAGTAATGTGCTTAACTCTTCTGCTGAAATCAATGGGAGGTTAGAAAGTGCTTAACTGTGGCCGAGCGGGCACGTTTCCCGCCTCCTTCAGAAAAGCGGGAACCCCCGAGCCGTTCCCGCCACCACGCCCAGATCCAAATCTCAGATGGGCGACGGCGCCAGTTTTAGCTGGATCGGCTTCAGAACCGAGAGCCTCTGACTAGAACCTTCTGCGCCGAGGCGCTGGCGCTGCAGGAAGGGCCGAGGAGAGCCGGGAACGGGCGCGGGTGCCCAGAGTCTTCCCCTACCTGGGCCCGCCGAAGCGAAAAGGGGCGATCCTCATCATGAGCGAGCGGCGCGGCCAGTGGCAGCAGGGGATGATGGGAGGGAAGGTTGCCGCGGTGACGAAATGTGGGGGGAGCTGTTTGGATCGCTGTTTGGCGAAATCCAGGGACAGGCGAAGAGCAGCCCTGTTGCTTGACGAGGAACGGCGGTCCCGCGTTGCGCCCCCCCCTTCTCCCTTCCTTCCGAGGATAGGTTGCCCAGGCGGCTTTTCCGTTGCTCATTGGAGTCCTCGCCTTCTCCAAGCACGGAAATCAGCGGCGTCCAAGAAATCCAAGCAGGTCGTTGGAAAGTCACTCCTCCGCCTCCATCCACTCTTTTAGGGCTGTGAGGTTTCCTTGTTTTGTTTTGCTTTGTTTTAAAGGAGGGAGATCGGCTCTCGCGCTTGGGCCATCCCGAATCGCTATTCAGATGTTCCCCAATCCCCGAAAGAGTTAACACGCTGAGGACGACGCACCCTGGTACCGACAAATTTAAAACAGGGAGGGGAAGGGGGAAGACACAAACGCTTGGCTCTCCGACGAGGTTCCCAGAAAGTAGAGAGTTGCACGGACAGTGAAGCACGTGTGTATGAACGGGTTCGGATCCGAGTCCAGCCAAGGCGTTGCAGGCTAGTTTTCGGCCTCCCCCTCCTCCTTCTCCTCTTGTAGGGTTATAGTATTCTTCACCGCGGCTCCGACATTGCACAGGCCCTCCGACGTTTCGAAAGCAAATGAAGGGAAGAGCCGCACGGCTGCTCTTTGGCGCGGCAGGAACGAGGAAGAAGGCGAGATGCGAAGAGCCCCGCAGGGCCGTCCCGTCGGCTTCGGTTCGCGACCGCAGTTGTTCAGATTCTTCTTCGTCGCAGCAGGAACTCCACAGGGTCATTGATTCAGTTCCAGCGCCCAGACCTGCTGAGGCCACCCAGTCCTGCCCTTAAGCCTTTTTTCGCCTTGACCTAAAGCATGAGAATATCCCACGGGCTGCTGCAGAAAAGTGAAGGGGGGGGGGGAGGAGAGAGAGGGAAGAAAAAAACACAGTTATTTTAAAAGAAAACTTCACCATGATTATCAGGAGCGGGAGTCGCAGGGATGGAATACAAGAAAAAGCGATGCGTCTTACTAAGTCTTACTAAGTCCAGGCAATGGAAGGCATTTAAGTCCAGGCTTAACTCCGCGCAGAGGCTAATCGTCTTTAATCATAACCCCGCAGCCTCGCCCGTTGCACCTTAGCAGCCCACAAAGACAAGGCGGTGCCTGATTGCGTTTTGGTTACCAGATGCCTCTGTTTGCAAATTTCCTTCGAGAGGCTGTAAATAAGAATCCAGCCTTCTCCCGCTCTTTTGGAGTATTAGATTATCAAGCGGAAGGCAATAAATTCCTTGCCTTTATTAACTGCCTTTTTATAAATATCGAAGGCCCTGTTTGGTAAACGCAACCGGCCCTACTAAATTATGTTCGTTATGGGCCTCTAATTGCCAAGGCGGTTTCAGTAAAAGTTTGGGCAACAGCACTGAATAAATAAATAAGAAAGTTTATACAGGCTCTTGGAAAATGTAAACGCAGAATGTTGAATATGTTTAAGTTTTTAAAAGAAAAAGCTTATTTTTAAACAACTCATTTGCTGGATTTTGAAACGTGCCTTTTCAGTCCTTTCTTCTCCCTTATCTTTTTTCCAAAGGTAATACAAGAGACCCAAAACTGAATATAGTTCATTTAAAAGGGGGGGAGGGGAGATACTTCTCACCTCAATTTGGAATCCAGACCTTGGGGTCCCCTAATGGACAACTGACAGTTTCGGTATGTGTGTACATAAAACACTATAGTACTATATACAGCGTATATAAATAATATACACACAAACGGGGTGAAAGAGCGTCTCTGCATAATTGTATGAACTTTGATTAGTGCAATCTCAACAACAGGCAACACAGACTTTCAAAATCTTCAAACTTGATGCTTGTACTAGAATCTCATCCTCCTCAGTCTGCCGTGTTGTAGTAAAAGGAAAAGGTTGGATCCTTGCCTCTCATGTCCGGGGTCAATGTCTGCATTTTCACCATTCCGGCAGAGCCATAGACAGCTGTAGACACTGGGCAGAACACAGTTTAGCAAAACACGGGACCAGGGTCTGTTTTGTTTAACGGAGGGAAAAAAAAGAAATCAAATCAAATCCGCAGAGAGCTTCGACTATTGTTTTGCTTGGAAAGGCTCCACTCTTGTGATCATATAAATGTTGGTCGCAAATTGCAATGTGGTATATGTATATGTGTGTGTGGGGGGGGAGAGAGATTTTCCAGAAAAACATACCAGCCGGGCAGCATTTAAAACGAAAAAGAAAAAAAAAAATCCATGCAGGGAACTTTGGAAGAAATTTGAAACGTTTAATCTCCTTTGAAGCACTAAAACGGGTCCTTCAGCGGGGAGTTTCGGCCGCGCAGAAGAAACCACGCAAAAAGGTTGAAGAGGATACAATGACTTAAGAAGTACAAAAAACGGTAAATGATTATCAAGGCCCAAAAATCTAGATTTGGCCAAAAGAGCTTCAGGGATTGGAGTACATCTTATTTCCTCCTCCCCCCCCCCCCATGTTAAATCTGACAGTTTTCCGGCTTCGGACTCCATCCATCAATCTGCCTTCCCACCCTCAGTAAAAGTGGGTCCTTTCTTTACGAAAAGCGCGGGAGAAAAAAAAAAACATTTCGCCAGCTGTCAAAGGAGCCGGAGCTTTGGAGTTTTAAGTCTTCTCTTACCCGTCTTATTCGGCGTGGGCTCAGGCCGAGCCTAGCCCGACTTAATTCCGCGCAAGCAAGCAAGCAAGCGACACAGCAACGCCGCCTCCCTTCCGAGTGTTGTGGCGTCTTACTGGAGAACAGGGGTCAACGCTGGGAGCTTTCCGACTAACCGAAGCCGCATATAATCCCTAGTATTTCCGGCCCAGGTGCATTTGTACGCTGGCTGTTTCTGCATCGCAGGATGGCAGGCAATGGCTAGCAAAGGCTACGCTTTGACTGGCCAAATCTGCTGGATCATAAATCCTAGCTCTCTCCGTTTTCTGCCCTGGGGTGAAGGGAAAAAAGCACTGCCCTGAAAAAAAATGTGTGGAGTTGGAGCTTCCAAGAGAGAAAGAGAAAAGGGGACGCTTTGTGGCAGCCTCTCGGGGACCTCACCCCGTTCTCTTCGACATTTCCCCTCCATTTCCGTCCCGTTTCTCCACCTCTCTAAAACATCGGCATCACAGTCCCCTCTCCGGCTCCACGGGTTTACGGGGGCTGCAATTTTGAACAGAATTCGTACCCAAAGAAGTCACCTCGCATGGGGTGGGGGGGTGGGAAGTGATGCTCGCCTTCCCCAAAAGGGAGAAGACTTCGGGCGCGCAGGCAGGCGGCGATCAGGCGCTTATCAACCCCCTCGCAGAGGTCATCTCGCCCAAAAGTGCCTTTGGGCAAAAAGACTTGGCGGCTCAGGAGTTGCCGGCTAGGGCTCCCGCTTTTGCCTCGCTTGAGCGCGGGGATGTCAGATGCTCCGCGCGGGAAGGCCAGGGCTGGACCGGCTCCGGCCTCTCCACCGCCGGTCGTGAGGAAGGAGGCGGCGTCTTTGCCCCCCCCTCCCCCCGTGTGGGCAGAAAAAGTAGCCTGGTCCCGCTACCGCAATTTGGAAGATCCGGTTCCTCGTCGAGGGGAATTCATGCACGGAAGCGCCGCTCGGTTCCAGCCAAGGCTGCGCACCAGCCCCTCCGCTCTAGCCGGACCGCCGCGAAACCCGGAGCGCTTCGGCTTTCCCGAAGGGCAGCGAGGGGGAAAGACCTGAGGCGGAGGGACCGGGGCAGTCGCGTTTTGGGCAGCCCGAAATCTAATGAAGTAAGGCGAGACGGAGAACTTGTAGCGGACAGGGAAAAGAAGTCCGGGTCCCCGTAACCCTCTGCCCGGGGCTTCCCGGCTGATCCCACGGAGCGGATTTTACTGCAGAGCAAGCGGATGCTGGACTGGGGCCGGAAGTGGGGTTCGCGCAATACGCTCATCTAGATTTAACTAGATTTTCAAGTTTTGTACAACGTAGTGAATATTGAATAGTAAACTAATGGCCCGGGCTGATTTGGCAGTATGAGATCCACTGGTAGTGCATTCATCCACTGCAGAATCACTTCTATGACGCAGGACTCAAGGGGACCTTCAGTCTCTCCTTTGAAGATATTCCTTGCCACTGCTCCACGTTTAACCCAGAGGGCCTGACAACCCTACATTCTTGAGCCACCCTTTTCACTAGGTGGGAGCTGTAGCTTAACGCTGCTGAAGAACCTGAAGAACCGTCTTGGCCCTTGAAGGGACTGGTGCTGCAGAGCCTTCGGTGCCTAAGGAGGTTACTTGAAACCATCAAGAGGTCGGGAATTTTTGTATGCATCTTAAGGAAACCAAAGTCTTCAGATTGAGAGTCAAAACCAAAAACCTGCCAGGACTGAAACTGAGCATCTTTGCCTGTTGAATGCCCACAGAAATATTGCTGGTTGCAGAAATATTCCTTCATAGACAAAGGAAATTGGAGAAGAGAGTCTCTGTGGCCTTGTTCACACAACAAAAGCTTAATCAGAGCTAAAGACTTAAATGTGGTGAAAAAAATGCATTCCCAAATTTCTTATTTTAATATGATAATATGTTGCAGGAATCCAGATCCACCAGCTATTTTATAATCCAAAATACTGTAGGAAATTATTAATTCAATAACTATGTTAAACCAAATATATGGACCTTCTGTCCCTTTGGCTTTCCTTTCCCACTTACAGACTTTTCACTCAGTGAATATCTCCCAGCTACAGCATTCTTCAATTGAAGAAGAACTTTTCTTTTTATTCATGCCACATGAAAGGTAAGTAGGGGGCACAGGATTGGCCTCCGTTAAAAAAATAAAGCATTCCAAGATCATTAGAATGCTGAAGTATATTCACTTGGAAGTTAGTTCATTGGGTTTTCTATTGTATGTTCAAAACTTTCAAAAATAAAAATGTGTGAGAGAGTGAGCTTTATTCTGGTTTTATAGGACTGTAGATGCCTTGTATGGTCTGTGTTGACCCAATCCACTTAAAACAGATCAAATAAAGACCTAGCAGTTGTATTTGATAAATGTAGTAAATGTTAAGATTAGTGTCAATTTTTAATGTTTGGCTTTTTGGACAAACCCAGTCTCCTTTTGTGTTAACCTGATATATGTGTACTCACAATTAAATAACTACCTTATTTATGTAGCTGGTTCCCATATCACCAAACAATACTACCAACCACCTCCAAAGACACAGACTGCCCCTTCTCCTGAAACTCCAGGGATCTGACATCTTTTATTATTGGATAATAAAGCAACTCTACAGTTGCTCATTTGCAAAAATTTCATATAAATTGACCACAGTATCATTTGGATGGCCACTAAAATTTCATAGTGTTTACTTTCAAACTACAGCACAGGAATGGTGGGGTGCTAAGTATCTTTACAAAATTCTCATGTTGTTAAATAAAAAAAAGCTTGGTTTGCAAAACACAATGCATCTCAAATAAGCATTTTGGATTAACATGCTTGTGAACAATTATCTAAGCACCAGTACTATTCAGACACAGCCACCACTACTGCAATAGAAACCTCTGGCTGTCTATGGAGATTCTCAATCATCCAGATCATGGTTGTCCCAAAGGTACTTTTTCCAAAAGGCAACTGGACTGTGTGGGGTTTTTTCTCTCCTTTGAAAATGTTTCATTTTTCATCCAAGAAGCTTTTTTCAGTTCTTTGAAAGCAAAAGATTTGTAAAGGAAAGAAGAAGAGAAAAACAAAACAAAACAAGAAAGTCCAGTAATTTTTCGGAAAAAGCATCTTTGGGGAATCTATAGGTGGATGGTGCCAAACCAGTTGAAGATGGGCAGGAAGCATATGCTGACATTTCCATCTCAGAAGCATCACATGGGAAATAACAAAAGGGATCCCACTTTTTTTTTTTTAAAAAAAACCCACATATTAACGTTGTTGTTTTAAAACAATGTATGTCTAGTGCCGTTCCACTGCCAAAGTGTTACTTGAGATTTTAGTTCTTTCAAAGAGTAAGCAAACTTTCTAGCTTTGTCTAACAAGCCCAGGGGATCAGATCTGGAAGTTTGGGAGGCCTCTTAAATCAAGGAATGAATGCAGAGGTGCTCCTGCACACGTGTCAAGTTCCCCGCTACCCGAGGACACACCCCAAGTGCTGAGGCGAGGATGCCTGCGGAGCTTTTGGCAAACCGCGACTTGTTTATGCGCTGTTTTGACGTGTGAGATGAGGTATCCACGTTCTGACTTACAATTAAGGACACGAGCTCATCTAAGCATATACAGAGTGCCGGCCAAAGTCTGCGCCTGCCGATCCTAGAAAACGCCCTCCCCTCCAAAGCTCCGCGTGAGCACCAAACATCCCCCCTCCCCCATCCCGCCCACAACCCCGGATTCTCACCGGCTGCTCGCGCTTCCTCTTGGCATCGCGGGGCTCGGCCTTCTTGAGCTCGGCCTTGAAGCCCTCGGCGGCCGGCCCGTCCTTGGCGAGCACCTCCATGAGGTAAGCGATGTAGCTGGTAGCCAAGCGCAGCGTCTTGATCTTGGAGAGCTTCGTATCGGCCGGCACGTTGGGGATGCACTCGCGCAGCTCGGCGAAGGCGCTGTTCAGGCTCTCGGTGCGTCGCCGCTCCTTGCGCGGGGCTCCAGGCGCGGGGCCGGCCCGCCGTCTCCCCGCCAGGCGCCCGCCCAGCTCCGAGGGGCTGCTGCCGTAGGACGAAGAGGGCGAAGCCGAGGAGGTCAGCCCGGCCGCAGCACACACCAGTTCCGGCGGCGGCAGCGGCGGCTGAGGCGGCGGAGACAGCTCGGCCGACGCTGCACTCAACAGCCAGCCCTGCGCGAAGGGTCGGTCGGACGCTGCGGCGGCCGCGGCCGCGGCCGTAGCCGCCGAGAAACATCGCGCAGGGGGCGGCGGCGGCGGGGGCGGCCCGAAGAGAAACGGCTCGTGGAGCAAAGCGCTGTGCGGGTGATGGTGCGGGTGCGGGTGGCCCTGATAGCTCCCCACCACGTTCATGGCGAGTGCCTGGCGCTACGAAGCCATGGGCGGACGGCGGGCCCCTGGGCGCCTCCACACCAGTCCCCGACCGGTTAGCCACTCCGCGCCGCTTCGCTCGCCGTCTCGGCCTTCCTCGGTCCCTTCGCTCCGCTCGGCCTTTATACAGCGGAGGGCTTTTGATGTCACGCAGGGGAGGGGAAGGGAGGGGGGATAGGCGCGCGCACGCACGCACGGACGCACGGACGCACGTAAGCGTCCTGGCGGCGGCGAGGTGCTCAGCCTGAAGCCGGACTCCCGGCCTGGCCCATCCGCCGGATCTTTGCAAACGAGGCGTTCCGTGTCCTCTTCAACCCCCCCCCCCCATTCCCGGTCTGTGCGGACTGCGGCGCAAAGCGCAAATCCGAGTTCCGAGATTCTTCGGAGTCACCTTCGAAACTCTTGCCTTCCGGAGACCCCTCCGGGCAGAGACTCCATACTAGAATCAGCCTGGCCGGCTTTAGCGCCAGTGGGTAGTTAGAGGCTTCTCCGCCTCCTCCTCTCTGTGTTGGAGACCGAAACTCGTTTGTCCCCAGCCTGACGTTAAGGGTTTGGTGGGATCGTTGCCCTCGCTCCCGTTATCGGCTCTCTTCGCGGTGGAACCGCCAGCATCGCCGCTCCCTGCCACTCCTCGAAGGCCGCGCTGAGCCTGATCAAGGGGCCAGAAACCGCCTCTGCTTCTCGGCTGGAAGGCCCTTCGACGACCCAAAGCTGATCGGCAGAGCGGAGGCATCGGCCGTGCTGCTTCCTACCGAAGCGCGCTTTCCTCGCGAGGCAGGCTGCTCTTCTTTTGTAAGGACATTTTTTTCAACAGTCCGGCTCCATCGAGGCTTGGGCTGTCTCTTCCAGAGAAGTAGGCTGTGATCACAATCTAAGAGGGATATAAGTTGCCCCAGTACCCACTGCAACGAAGTAATAATAAAAGGCGAGACAAGGTTGTTCTAACCTGCAGGAATTTAATACTGTAGACTACTTGTTTATTTTTTTTCAACTCTCAGTTATCCCCGAAATCAATCCACGTCTACATCCGATAAAGATGGTTGTATTTAGAGACAATCTAATTTCACTATTTTATAAACGCAAGGGGAGGGGGATATTTTAAATATCCCCAATTAGTAGCCCGTATATATTCCATATTTCTGTCTTCTTAAAATATTTTGATTTTGTGTGGGAGAGCTTTCCACCAGATCTGTACAGTACTTTGGTCGAGGTGACTCTTCCAAGTTATGCAGTACAGGTTGAGGCTTTATCCTTACTGTCAATGGGACTCTGTTGCCTTACCTTTTAGGTGAGGAAAATGCATTTCTTATTACTCCTAATCTAATCTGAGCCTGGAATTTTCCTCTTCCAGCCATTCGGAAGAAGGAGGGGTTATAATTTGGACTGGAAGAAGTTTGTAAACATGAGGTGAAAGCCACCGTGTTCACTCTGAAAAGAGGGAGAGAAAATCAATGGCTATGTTAAGAGATTATTTTTATTAGTGCAATGGAAGGTTTAAATGTTAATGTGCAAGTTTTTAGGGACCCAAGCATTTTTCTTCAAGGGATAATCTTTGTTACCCTGCAAATATTAGATTTATGGTGCAATTATCTGCCCATTTTCTTATTGTGGATGGGGAAAAAGCTCAGCTGGACTTTGAGTAGTTCTCCGTGGAACTGCCCTGATGAAGGGCAATGGCAGACAACAAGGTAGGCAGTATTCGAATATTAATGCTCTTGCTCTGTATAATTCTGGTGCCTTGTATGGAGTAGAGAATAAACATTGAAAACAAACCAACACCGACAACGTAATTTTAGTGGAGCGCTTTTAGTCAATTTTATTAGAAATGAAAAATCAGGCTGTGAAATTGGTAAACCATTCAGACAACACACTAAGCACTTTGCTTATAATCGGACTGAGCACATACTTATTACAGCCTGCATTTTCTCCATATGAATCATTCCTGTTACAAAGACGTAACTGACTAGAAAGAAACCTATAATACTGTACACGGCAGTCAGAAATAAATCTAATTACAATCAAAAAGGTACTTCCTGTAATGGGGGTTCAGACATTACAGTAGAAAAATCCAGACTGGAACATATTTTAATGTGAAATTTGGAAGATTCCCTGAATCACTCTTTATTCCTGGCATTCTGGACTGAAATAAAGTGGGTTTATAGCAGATCTGAATTTGTTTTCTAGGTAAGTGAAATTGTCTTGTGCAAGGAGTTTCTGTGCCTGAATGTCACTGTTTAGAATTCTCTGTGGATCAGCCATACTCCTTCTCCAATCACTGATGAAGTTTTCTATTAAAAACAGACTAGGAGAATGAGAGAAAGAGTGTGTGTGAGTGAGTGTGTGTGTGTGTGTGTGTGAGAGAGAGAGAGAGAGAGAGAGAGAGGGAAATCAAGTTTGAATGAAAGAATGATTAAATGGATCTGTAATCAGTCCACCCACCCCACCCACCTCTAACTTTCATTTGCCTGCAGCAAGTTTATTTTTCTAGGCTGGTGGACTTTTGTTTTTATTTTTTTCTGCTGGAGCACTAAGAAAGCCATTGCATTCTGTTTTCTGGACCAGCTTCCAACAGAATGCAATGGCTGTATCTCCATTTGAAGTGATAAAGCTCTCTTCTCCAACTACAGAAGCCCACCAGATGCATTGATTCATCACTCCTACTAGCTCTTTTAACAATGGGGTGTCCTCAGAAGGGCATTGGGATTGTCAAAATAATAAGACTGGTCTCAACCCAATATTTCTGGAGGAAACTGCATTGCATTGCATTCTGCTTTCAGTGGCGCTTGGTCACCATCACTATTATTCCATTTGCTTGTCCTCCGGAAAAAATGAAGTGTGCGCTGGTTGAGGATCATGGTAACTGTAATCCAATGTGATTACAGTTGATTGTGATTGGAGAAAAATATTCCAATAGCACAGGCATTAGAAAAAAGAGAGATACAAATCTGCTGATAGATCACCGAAAAGATGATTTCAAACACATCCTACCCCAGAACAGTTAACAATGAAAGCCAAAAAGATTAGTCGGAAGTAGGGTTCTGAGATGAAGAAAAACAGGTCAGACCCTTAATGTTTTGACTGGTGGTCCTCTCTTCCCAGACTTTGGGGGGGGGGGGAAGTGTCCCGAGTCTCCTCGGATTTGGAAATATGTCTTTCCATCTCCTGAGAGGCTGGTTCCTATAGCGATTGGGAGCTTCTTCTACCTTCGGAGCCCGTCTTCAGTCCCGACCCTTTTAACACTTGAGCAAAGAGACAGGAAAAGAGCAGCCGGATACAATTCGCAGGGCAATTTTTCTAGTCAATAAGGACATTTACCTTTTGGAGAGTATCCAAATAGGCGAGCAAGCTCCACCCCAGTTTTCAAAGCTTTGCTCCCCCCCCGTCCCCCGCCAGCCCTACCCGCTGCTCTCCTTTGCGCTCCCCATTAATAAGATGCTATATATATATAAACAATTATATTCAAAACCTGAGCCTGGGAGTCACAATTGACTCGCCTGGCGCTGTCTCTTCGGGATATTTTCCTTCTCCCCCCCTTATGTTTCCCCCGTGATTCCCTCCCCCCAAGCCACCGCTAGATCTCAGAAGACGTCGCTTCGAGGAAGGCGAAGCGCAGTGAAATTCGTTTTCCTGGTTCGGAGCGCAGGGACAGCCGAGCGAAGCGGCGCACCTTCGCCGCTGGCCTACCCAATTCTCAGTTCCACTCTCGCCTCCTCCCCCCTCCACCTCGGCACGTTCCTGTCTGGGAGGGGCAGGTGGGTTCCCCCCACGGCGGGATCGCAAGACTTCGTGACTGCGGCTCCAAAGGCCCCCCCCCGCCCGCCCCAGGGGCTGTTTCTGCCAGTGGCCCTTTTCGCCGTTGCTTTGGGCAGAGCGACCCGAAAGGACGTGGGGAGAGCGGAAGGATCGCCCTGCGCAGTCCTGGCCCTCGACCCCCGTGCCCGGCTGCTTGGAATGCCGTCCGAATGGTGTCGGGAAACGTCCCTTCCCCCCCCCCAACCCCCAACCCCACCCCAGTCCCGTAGTCTGCATTTCCTCTGCCAAATGTGATTCGGAGAAGGAAAGTGGCGCCGGCTTAACTTTAGGGGCCACTACACACCATCTGTATTCCAATCCTCTCCCCCCCCCTCCCCGCCCCAAACTCGTGCGCTGCCGCCGAACCTTGTGGCGGTGAGTTCCACAAGGGTGAATTCGCCTGGGATATAGACGCCTAAAAAAAACAAAACATCAAGTCTGTTGGAGTCTCCACCTCGCCCATTTTCGACGCCAAGATTCAGCACGCCGATTCCCAGCGAGGCCGTGGAAAAGCGGAGCGCCTCTGGACGTGGCCTAGCCGCCGTTCACCCCCCCCCCCCGAGAAGCATCCTACTGGGCAAGATCGGGCCTGTTCCTTCTTAGGATTTTTTTTCATTCGCCTTCCTCTAGCCGGTATATCTACCCCCTTTCACTCAGCTTTCTCTTCTCCTCGGGGCTCTCGAAGACTCGTCCTCCCTCGCCAACTTATTCCGCCCCCCCCCCCCGGAAAAGCCCCTGGGGCAGGGACCGATACGGGGGCCCTCCTGCCCAGGGAGAGACGGACAGAGCAGAAGATGGGAGACGCCTTGGAGGTCGGGGGGGGGGGACCAGTGGCGGCGAGCCTGGCGCCGAGAAACTGGGACTAGCCGTCCCTCGGGGGGGGGGGGAGGGAAAGGAGGCGACGCGGAGCTGCATTTCAGTCCCTGTCCCGCTCCCGTCTGAGCCACGCGAGCTCCGCAAAGCGACCGGCCAGAGTGAGCAATGGGAGAGGGCCGGACCTCAGCCCCCCCCCCCAAGCATCGGTGGCGGCGGCTTGCTCCGGGAGTTCTCGGCTAGCCGCTAGAATCTCGCCCGGGCTTAGCTCAAGGGCGCGCAGCTTCTGGGATCGTGGAGTTCCGCGATCGGTGCGTTAAATTAAGATGAAAAATTTCAAGGGCTCGAACCCGGGCAAGGACTGGGTTACGGAGACAATATCAATCCATTTCCTGTCCACCCCCCACCCCCACCTCCCAAATTATTTTTTCATTCTAGAAGTCTAATTAGGAGCCGGCAACAGTTCTGTTATTGTGGCTGCTGGGTTTTTGTTTTTTTTGTTTTTTTTTAAATGGGATTTTGTCTCTCTTGGCGATCCTAGTGAAAAATCCCCCGCCGGGATCCCAGGAACGTCTCCTACTTCAGAGACTTTTTTTTTTTTTTTTTTTGCTGCAAAAAGAAATCGCCGCGTCGCGTTTTAAGGAGCGGCCGGATTATTATTTTTTTGCAAACATGTTCGTTTCCAAGGCTCAGGTTTCCAAAAATAAAACAAACAAACAAACAAACAAAACAATACGGTGAGCTTGCCACAAGGGTAAGGCATCTGTTTACTCTGAAATAACTCAAATTGTAACGCTTGGTCCGATTCACATTCCCTCTCTCGCGTAAAACTTTCCTGGAACGTTCCTACCCAGAATGCGGTGGTTTCTTATGAGAGTAGATCATCTTGGTCTTTGGAAAAGGGTACTTAAACAAAACCTAGCGTCTGACTAAAGCTGCGAGGTCCTCAAATCTTGAAACAAACTCGACTGAACATGTAAAATGTGCTGCAGAAAAGGCGGGCTTTGTGCTGCGTTTTGGTAAAGGAGCGGGATGTTAATGCATTTCCCCCCCCCCATGGCGCATTTGAAAGGGAATTATTGTATGCAAATAAATAAATATATGGAATTTAGAAGGTGAGGAAAACAGATATGCACCAGACCTGCTGTTTTCCTCTGCAATCTTTCACCCTCATCTCTAATTCCCTTCGTTTGACCGCTTGGTTGATCGCCTGCTCTCGGGCGGGCGAGTCAGAACAGACCGAATCACCCGAAAGGTGGTACTTCTAAGGTATGCTTTGGAGTAAGTGGGCTCCAGGTTGTGTGAGCTGTTTACTTTTCTTCCGGGAATTTGAAACCTTTCACTTTCACTGCATTTTAAGTCTGCACCAACAACTTTCACCTATCTCATGACATCCTAATGTGGTCAATGAAGAAGGCATTTCTGATTTCTCTCCATGCCTGGCACCATGGAGCCTTATCATCCGTGAAGATCCTGGGCATTTTGCTACAGCCTCGAACCAGCCTGGTATTCACTATGTGCACATTGGTCTTGCTGGGTGCCTCTTCTTGAAATCCTTGATCTTTCCGTAGTTTTAAAATCGTCAGCAGGTACTTTTTAAACCCAGCTTTCATACAGAGGCTCTTTGCTATCAGTCGTTCTGTTATTTTTTTTTTCTCTCCTTTTCCTTCCAAAATTAGCCATAGAAGAAATTCTTTGCAATGTCTTTAAAATTGAATTTGGAATCAGCCAAGAGAATTCCACAAGTCAAATTTTATTTCTAACTATCTAATTTTCTCCAAAAGGTATTCTTTACTAGAATCATCCTAGATCAAAGCACCCAGGGCTAAATAGTTTATTATTTGCTGTTGCTGAAAGCATTATTGTCATTTCCACAATTTCAGTTGGAATGTGAAGAATAAAAAAAAAAACTTGTTACTGCAACCTCTTGTAATTATTAATATTTACATTCTGGCTGGACTGTTTTTTTCAAAGTTTTGTGCAAAATCAAGTAAATGGTTGCAGATTGTCCCTTAACAGTATACAGAATGAATTAGATTGTCCTATAAATTCATACCAAGTTAAAATTACTTTTTGTATCAGTGCACATGGCTTACATGGAAATATTTCCTCATTAGCAAAATAATTGTTTGCACATTTTCTTAGAAGTTAGCTCCATGCTTATATATGCCTTAATGGATATACGTTGTTGTTTTGCTAATAAATGTCACTGAATTATATAGGACCCAATATGCTATTAAGGTGTGGTTTTAAGATGTGTGGGGTTTTAGATGTGAATCTCCATTTTACCTGGATTGAACTCTGTGGTCATAACGGCTTTAACTATTTCTTGTGTCTTATTTGCTCAGAAGTTGTAAGAGTTATTCAGATTAATAGAATTGACACCCCAATTATGCTCTTTTGACCAAAAAACGGGTCTGCATTTTACCAAACAGTTGCAGTCACTCAAAGCTGAACATCACAATGGGGTTTCCCTTAACTCTTTTATGATTGTATGCAAAAATTCCTACACACACACACATTTCCCCTATGCACAGAAAGGACCACTGCAATTTTCAAAGTAGTTGAGAACATAAATAAACTGATTTTAACTTGAGTGTCTGTAAGGATAATTTAAAAGGGAGTTATTTTTCAACAATTAAGGAATGTGCACATTTCTCTGTGTAGAATCATATATAAAGACATATATGGAGAAATACATTTTCTTTTGCTACTATGTCACAAATACATAACCTCACACACACACACACACAATTGTATTCTTTTCTTAGAAATTCATACAGCCGCTGTTGATGATTTGACCAAGGTTTGAGAAGGGGCTATTTGCATATGTGGGCACACAAAAGGGCATTTTCTTGGTCTGGATCTGGAACCCCATGGGGCTTCAAAAGCAGCATGATCTGGAGAAGAGCCAAAGTGGATTTTGACTGTCTCCAAATAGTCCCGCCTGGCTTTCTTTTCTTCAAACATTCGATTTCTTGATGTTTGAGACAGAGAAAAGCCTCAAAGGAAAAATGCCAATAACATTCCCAGAGAGTCTTTATTAAATCTAGGTATGCTAACCATTAAATTGTGTGTGTGTGTTTTTTTTTAAAAAATTATACTGTAGTTTAAAAATGCTTTAAGATTGTTTCCTGGTGTTTTAAATGAATTCACCCAACTTCACAAATCATTAATGTCTGCTTACTTTGGAAGGGGGCACATTTTATGTGACTTATTTCAATTGCAGCTCTGGTCTCTGGTGGGTAGATAGCCAAGTCCTCTGTCTCCTTCTTTGTTAAGAAATTTGCCTCCATAGCTGATCAGGAACAACTGTCTCAGATTCTTCCTCTCTAAAGCCATTAATATCCTGTAAGAAAGTTGTAAAGGTGCCTTTCTAGCTCTCCCCATTTTTGTTTTCCATCTACTTGCCAGAGAATACGATTTGCATTATAGGACTTTCCTCTACTAAATTCCACTCCACCATCCTCTGGAATGAAGGATAAGGACACACTTATCCTTCATTTCCCGGCCTATTCACCAGAATCCAAAAATAACTAGGCCAAGGAGACAGTTCCCTCTTCTTCCTCCTAACAAGTATAAGCATTGTGCCAACCAACACAACTCCCCACTTCACACCCTCATGGGTTTTCAATTGTTTAGAGAGTTACTTTGGACTAAATTATTTTTGACCATGATGATAAATCAATTGTGGATCTGAGAAAGATTCTGCAGATCTTCTAGTTCAGATCCATGTTCAGACCCAATCTTCAAGTTAGATTTTCATTGTTAGCATCAGCAGAGAGGCTGTTCTGTCTCTGCTTAAATTCCTCAAACATATCAGGAAGGCAGTTTCTTTCTCAAACAGCCCAAATATTTTTGGATGATTTTTTTTTGATGTCCCAGATCCTGAAGGTCTCCCTAGAGATTTAATGTCTGCAATGAAAAATGTATATCACCACCTGCTGTGACGCATTTGGATTTACTTTGGATTTCTTGATTACTAGCATAGATAGGGAGTCTGAAAGAGAGAGCTTCCTGAAGAGGACCTTCTTTTCCGAAAAGTAACTTTTTTCTGAAAGTGCTAACTTTCTCTCCTACTTTCTCTCCAAATGACTTTTAACAAATAAATGATTTAATTTGGTTTAAGGAGCATAGTACACTTACTTTTCTCCAGACTGCCAGATAGATAGCTAGGAAGCCTCTCTGGTTCATTTAGATTTACATCCTCGGAGAAACTTAAGTGAGGGTGAGAGGATCCTTCACCTAAAGAGAATGAGAAAACGAGGGACAACCTATCAGTGTTATCACTACAGTATCCGTATTTGCATCATGAGCATCAACATCAGATAGATTATATTAGCCCCGACTACAATTGGGGTGGCCTAACAAAGATTGTCTACTTTGGTATTAACTGGATAAACATTGTACTCAGTACAATGTACTGGATCACCTAGCTTCAGAGAGAAGTTTTTACTGAAGGCATGGGGGGTGGGGGGCACTGATTTCAAGGCAAGAGATTACTTCCAACACAGGAAGCCACATTCCGAAGCGCGTGTAAATTGGATTGCAATTCTATTTTTATTGTTTTTTTTAGAAATGCTTATCTTTTACGGTTTGCTTTTAATATTGCGAGCCGCCCAAAGTCGTTTCGGAGCGAGATGGGAGGCAAACAAATATAATAAATAAAACAATAATAAGCTGCAGCTCTCAACAAAGAAAAAGCGCCGCTAGTGAAATGATTGCTGGGAGCAGCTTACTTCCGGATATAAGTGCAGAACAGCAGCAGCAATATTGCGCCTGTGGGGCACGTCCCGGTGTCCTTACCCAACGGGTTTACACTGGAAAAGCACGTAAAACGGATCCGATCCAGCCTCCATTGACGTGAAGCCCCACAGGTCGTTTTAAACACGCAAGTGCAGCATTTCCGACTTCCAGGCGAGAAGGGCAGTCAGAGATGCCCCGAGGGCGCCGATTTGCTAGTAACAGGCCCAGACCCTCTAATCAGACCCAGATCCTCCAATCAGCGTTTGCGGGAGGCGGTTCTCTGAGAAGTGGCTCCCTCGTGCGCTTGCGGAGAACGCCGCCGGCCAAAAGAGCACGTGGCTTCCACAGGAGTGCTTCTCTCACCCACATCCGAGCTTTGGGGGAAAGTTTCGCCGCGCTCCGTTTGTTGCTGAGACGATCAGCCGCTGCTTCGAAAAGCGATCGGATTCTTTTATCTAATCGCGGCCACTGGCCCCAGACCTGGCTAGCTGCAGGGAGTCTGGCCCCTAAGGAATCCCACCGATAAGGACCGCAATTTGCGGCAGGAAGAAAAGGAAGGATCCCTCGGGTGGGAAAAGGAGCATGGATCCTCGCGTTAGCTCGTACTTCAACCGGGAAAACTCTTTTTTTATATTGTAATTCCTTCCTCTGGGGGAAAAAAACAAATCTGATGACAATTTATTTCTGCTATTTTCAACTTTTCCCAGGTTTCACATCCTCTTGTCCGTTTGCTGTTCTGTTTCCTTTCTGGTTCTCTTGGTGTTATTATTCCCCACTCTGAGACGCCACTGAAAAACTGTATAGAAATTAGAAATTTAGCTCAGAGATCTCCCCCAAGTACCTTCCGGTTTGTTCAAGTTCAACTCAACCCTTCTTTGGACCAAAGCCAAAAGCTGAAATTAGTTTATAGTTTTGTTTGATCTGTTAGGACTGTGCAAGATGAACTTGGTATTCTGGTGAAGGATTTTTAAATCTAACAAATGATTAAATCATAAGAGATCAAGCCAATGGGGAGTGGTAGGATGTGAATGCAAAATGCAAAACTCAGATGCTTTTAATGATTATTTTTCTGTGAAGGAAAAATGGTCAGTGGCAGTTTATAGAATATTCTTCTAAAATCTGCTTCTGGACGCCTTCAATAACATGCTAGTGCACAAATAAACAAGACATATAATGGCTGAAGTGCTATTCATGTGAGAGAATCTTTATAATAAATAAGGAATTATTGTTAAGAATTGAGTTTGAAAAAAATGTTTCAGAATTGGGAAAGGAGTGAGAAAGAGAAACAGATAGTCCCCATACTTATTTAATTTGTTCAGCAAATATAAGAATGGCAGGATTGAAGGATAGGACAGCTGGAATGAAGATCTAAAAATTAATAGTTTGTGATATGTGGACAACACCATCTACTTAGCTGAAAAGGAAGTATTAATTTAGTTATTTGATTTATCTGACTGCCCAGCTTATGTGTCATAACTCTGGACAGCTTACACCAACAGCAATAAAAATGCAAAAGAAATAATAAAAACCAAAATGCAAAAAACAGTTCCTTGTACTCTAAAACAACAAGCATAGCCACTAGGCTCCACTCTAATCTTAAGTAAATTTAGAATTACATGCTGTGAAATTAAAAATAAAGCGTAGAAATCTGGGATTCTTAAATTAAGAATCCTTAAATTCTTAAATTAAAACAAAAATCAGGTTAGCCAGCACTGGCATGAGTTAGGGAAATCACAGTTGGCAGCAAAGAAGTGAAAGTGCAGTTAAGTTTTATTTTCTCAAGCTCAAAAGTAGATAAAGATGGAAAAAGGGGTAAGAAGTAGCCAGGAGATCATTACCATCAGAAGAAGGTAATGAAAACTTAGTCACATGAAGGATAAGGACATCTGTAAGACTGTAAATATCAGAATTGATGAACAAATATGATTATGGATAACAGAAGAAATATGAAACTATGAAAGCTGACCACTGAAAAAGAGCATGAGAAAAGCAGATAAACACCTTCAAATAATAGATTTGGAGATGGTTCCTAAGAACATTATGAGGAAGTACAAGAACAACCAATCAATAGTTCGGGCTAGATAAAAGCTAACCATTCTCTTAAAGCAATACTTAAGCAGGCAAAAACTCATATATTTGGGGCATGTCATGCAAGTGGAAAAAGCAGCTATTCCTGGCAAGATTGAGGGCAATAAGAAAATGGGAGATAATATTTTAAGCGGAAGGATGGGATTGGAAACATTCCTGGAATATCTTTGGAAGGCAGTGGATTGTCTCTATAAGGTTGAGATGGACAGTATTTGTCAATGCAGTCTTTAGATGCTCTGCTGACATTTTTGATGTCAAATTTGTATCCATTTACTCTCCATTCTCTTCTGCAAAATATATCGCTAGCAGATGACTGCTAGATAATCAGGCAAATGAACACTGTCCTTCTTGGCAAAATGCCTGGAGTTGCTTGAAAATACAGAGAGCAGTAACAACTTAAAAAGGCCAATCACTGTCTAATATAAGGAAAACGGCTCTCCGTGTATATCTGCAATCATATGCACATTTATCTGAAAAACATGACTTATCTCTAAGGAATGTTATTTAGAAATAAAAGCCACAGACACGAAGGGATACACTGAAACTGATTACTGCTTATCTTTTAATTGGATTCACTCAATGTAATCTTGCAGATATAACATTGGAGTTTTATATAAAGCAATAAGGAATTATTTACACTAGTTTGGCATGTCCAGTGGAACATACGCTATGAAATAGAATATTGTATTTATGTTACATATGGTAACATAAATTCTACACAGACGCCCTACAGTCGGTATTTTTCGCTGTGCACGCAGGGCTGCACAATCCTGCGTTCGCTTATTTCACTTAAACTCATGTTAGAGTATATGGTATTGCTGCTGCAGTATTAATATTGTATCGGATCGGTTTATGACGATTAACCCTGGCAAATGGGATAAGTAACCATTATCATATATAGAATTTATCCTGTTCTCATTTATGAAGGCTTCCCCCCGCCCCCTCCTTTTTTAAAAAAGTCGGTCTCTTAATTTGGTTTTCGACGTAGAGCGGGAGAATCCATCTCTTCGCTCAGCCAGAAAGTTCCGTCAGCCAAGCTTCTCAATCTGACCAACCAACACCTGCTTTTCCGACTGGAGCGAACAGCAAAAAGAGCGTTCGCGAACGCTTTACCAACCAATCAACTCTTTTGAATGAGATAGTGGCCGCGTCCCCCTCTCGACCAATCACCGGCTCCAGCGCTGATCTCTGAATTCGGCTTCGACTCGACAGCGCCTCTAGAGGCTGGCAACCCGCGGCCGAACCGGTTCTCGCTGGTGGTTGGGGGGATGGTTTTTTGCCTCTGCCGGAGGCTGCATTCTTGGGCGGCGTCTCCGTCGCCGCTGCGGTCCAGCAAAAGTGAACCCTGGCACGTCCTGTGACCTTGACGCCACCGCCAATCCCTACTCCGGACACCGTTATCTAAATAGGACTGTAAATCAGGCCGCTGTCGGATTGCGTGCCATTGCAGGGGCTCCATAAAACGGGGCTCTGCGCCCGAGCTGTTTACATTGCAGTCCCGTAAAATATTCCCCCTGTCTTTTGTATTAGCGTCTCACTGTAACATCCCGTAAATCACGGCTCGTCCGCATGAGGAATGGCTCAACCTCTTACATATTTTTAGAGGCATAAATAATGTCAATTGGTTTCCATTATCTGCTGCAAAGAGAAGGGCTGGAAAAATCGGCCTCGTGGTGTGGAAAAGTTATTACTAGTAGGGCCGCGCAAGCCGGAGGAGGCTTGACATCCAGGCCCTGTCCTGTCCTGTAGCCCTAGCCATAGAAAATGGAGTTTGTCTGGAAAGGCACCCTAGGTGCTCCGGCACCCTGAACTTAGCGCCACGGTTAGGCCAATTACTTGTCCTCTCGGGAATCTGCTTTCAGTAATAATGATAAATCCGATGCTGCCTCTGAGAACATGCCGAGTTATCTCATTGCGGTGGAAAAGCTCGTTAGAATTGGGCAACGCGGTTCTCAGTCCTAGCCCTGAGTTTAAATCCAAACATCGCTGTATTCAGAGAATTCACTGGTGGGAGAGTGAGATTGTGATCTGATTTATTAAGGGAGAAAACTGGAGATAAATGAGTGCTTGCACGTGGAAGAAATGGGCAAAAGAAGACAACACTTTGCTATCTCGCATTTTCTGTTTCCCTTACTTGAAGCTATAGCGTTAACTGGCTTCCTGGAGTTCTGAAAGGATCTTGCCCTTTTCGACCTGTTCATGGCTGGTCACTTTCACCGCAGTCCTGAAGCCAGGCTTCTTACAGCTGTATTACACATTCTTGACATATAAATTAAATATAAAAGGTCCTCTGTTATTTAACAAGCTGAAGTTTACTCTTGGCTGCATAATTCTACTAAGCCCCTTCTTATAATATATTAGGATAAGTGTTCACTTGTGTTAAAGGATGGATTCATTTTCAAAGCCCAAGCTCAGCTTTGGGATGGTGAACAGAAATGATCAAGAGGAGAGCAGCTTTGAATGTACACTGAGGATCTTTTCCTTATATCTATTTATTTAGAGCATTTTAAAGCATGCCTTTAAGTTTGCCAGATTTCCTTAAGTAGGGAACAATTGCCAAGTTTCAAGTATTTATTTATTCAGTTTATCCAGTTTATAGGAATATACATTTGTTTGAAAACAGAGACAAAAATCAAACAAACAAAGCACGAGTCATAAAAAGTCTGTTTAATAAAGAAAGACTTGTACTGTCTTGAAAAAAAAAAAGTCTTTTGCTGGATCTGTTGCACAAAACTGCTTGTTCAGCCACAACTATAGTCTTGGAGATATTCGTCCCTAAATTGTAATGGTACATGTGAGAAAAGTGCAGTTGCATCAAATAAACTAAAACTTATTTTAAGGAATATAGATTTTTTTCTTACTTTAAAGAAACAAAGAATAAGGCTTTCTATTAAAAAAAAATAGAAAGGATCACCTCTTGATCAAGTTAAATATTCCATGTGTGTCTCTGCTTCAAGCAGCCCAGGTATTTTAATCTTAGATGACTTGCAAAAAATATTTAAAAGTTGCCTCTTCCTCTTCCATTTTGGAACTGATTTCATACGATTCTGATTACATCCACAGACAGAGAGTACA